GCCCAAATCCTTTTAGCCTTTTTGCCTACTCGAGGTCCTCTATCGAATGATGTATGAACGAACGAAATCGGAGCCGGACACCTGGGGCGGTTCCCTCGTTAGATATATTGTTTAGTTATCTGTCACTTTTCTTTGCATCTTATGTTACTATTATTTGTACATATTATATATCAAAAAAAATTACCAGGCATCTACAGACCAGGCCAGGGTAGGCCGAGGGCAATGACAGGCAGGCAGACAAGGCCCAGGAAATATTTCGGCAGGCCCAGGCACATCTAAACATTACAGGCCTGACGCAGGCAGATCAGGCCTCAAAATTGTCGGCCTGTTTCGAGCCCTGGTGCAAAGAGAAGTAGATAGAAGCAGTGAAGCGAGACAAGAGGCCATGAACTGTAGAAAAGTAGAGATATGTGGAAGGCAATCCATAAGAGAGACCAACAGATATACGCAATGAGATGAATCGATGAAGAAGAAAAAAAAGAGAGAAGGATGGGAAGGCAATGGAAGAATAGTATTATTCTTCACACCTACGACATTGAACTCCGTGAAATACATGATTAGAAAAGCCTGAGTCACAGAATATATCGATAGCTTCTCTCCTTGTTAGTTCGAACTTTAAGCTTTGACAGACCGATTTGTGCTAAAATAACAACTTCTGCACAAAGATGAACAAAATCATGTATGAATAAATTATATCTTATGCTCCTAGTGTTATATTCGAAGCTACAACTGCATATAGCATCTTACTAAACACCCCGCCCCATAATAGAAGACCATCCCCTATTACAAGACCACTGTCGATGTTCCGGAAGCAATAAATTTTATGTCTTATAGTTTCAGAGTTGATCAGTGAAAAGAGTTTTTCAAAATGTGAAAAGCGGCGTCGTTGAACTCAACAATATAAGAAAATTCATTACATTATTTTTGATTGCCGTCGATGTACTATGGAACGTCTCTATAGAGAAGGAATACTCGATCTGTTGTAATAGTTATAACTATTACAACAGATCGAGTATTCCTTCCTGCTTTTCGTATTGCTATTCCTTTCAAAATAGAATGCACATGCCAGGCAAACTCTTTCAGTCTGAACGAGGTTTTAATAGTAAAAATCGATTGTTCAGTTCTTTTCACACACGGTTATCCCGTCCACACAGATCAGTGTTGTGATGAGAAGCAAAAGTTAAAATTTTGACAGCCCACCATTTCTGACTTGCAGTCAAACAAATTACGTCAATAGCCACTATACGAATAGAGAAGGGAGCGACTGAAATGTAAAATTACAATTTAATTTGATCCGTTACTTTCAAAAAATGATGTAACCAATGCATGAAACACCCGTAGAAAAAAAATCGTGTTGTTCTATCCCAGTTAGCTGAAGCCAGTTTAACTGGGTCAAATAGCTAGTTCGAGCTAGCTCCATGATTTTCTTTCTGCTAGGGATGCTTAGATATTGGTTTAGAATGAAAAAAGACGATAGAATCATTCTCCTCTTCACGAAGCCAATCAAGATATGTCTAATGTCAAGGTTACCCAGTTAGTCACCTATATGTTTTGAAAATTCGTTTTAACGTGGTTTTAGCTTCAAAATATCGCGCGAAACTGTGTTTACGAAAAATTTATCGCAGAAATTCGTTTGAAAAAAAAAGCGCGAGAATTTCGTTTCACGTAATCATAGATTGCGTTAAACGCGCTAAATTTTTCGCACGATCCTTTGAAGCTAAACTCGCGATTTTTCCTGCTATTTTCAGAAAAGTCGTTTTTTCGCGATACTTGAGCCAATCTCGCGTTGCATTGCGTTGAAAACGCGTTTTTCACTTACTTATTTGTTATAGAAATGCCTAATTTCATGACTTCAGTCTAAGAAACGAGTTTTACGTTTCAAAGAAGCTATCTTATAAATTTTTGAAAAAGTGAAGCGCATTTTTTGAAATTCCATTTCTAGCCAAAACGCATTAAATTCAAGTGAGTCCTAAACACGAAAAATTTGATGCCGTTCGCGGACCTTGAAGTCTATCGTGACCGAAAACGCGTTTTAAAAAAGTTATGATGGTCATAAACGCGTTTCTCGCGAATTATTGATGGCAAAAACCTAGTTTTGATTAAGGCGTATATGTAAAGTTCAAGAAAGTCACGTTAACGTAAAACGAATTTTCAAAGGATATAGGTGACTGACTGGTAAGTACGGTATTTCGTTAACATGACAATTTTGCAATTGTGTTTTGATTTCTACATGCTTTCTGCACTAAATATTTATAAATCTGGAGTACTTTTTTACATTTAAAAGCTTACCTGATCGATACCTTGAGTTATTTTTCATCGTAACTCAACTTTCTGATCATCCACGCAAAGTCGACACGCATCATTGATTACCTTTTTCGTCTTGGTAGACAAAATCAAAACTTTTTTTTCTCATGACAACATCGCATCATTTTTATTCTCTTATTCCGTAGTACGTACATACATACACGTAATCCAAAGAAACACAGAACGTAGGTAAGCCATGCGTACGAAAAACCAGTATTGTTTTTAATCAAACCATACTAATCTTCATATTCTTAAGTTCTTGACTTGACTTTACTAGTATCAAATTCTTTAATATTTATATTCAATATCCCTCTGATGTAGCATAGAGATATCCGATACACCAGTATTTCGGTTGTTTTTTTATGTCAGATACGATTTTATTGAAATGATAGTTTTTTTCGCTAGAATGTTTGATAGGCTTCTCAATTGGGATTTTAATGTTCGAAAGTACTTTCTCACATAGTACGTTGTGTGATTTCCAGGAAGAGAAAAATAACGAGAATTGAACTTAAAAAGAACTATAGTATGTAAGGTGTAGAGGAGACAATAGAAAACTACGTTTCCTTACAGATGATCCCTCTACAAAAAAAATTTATACACATTGTATCGCCAAATTGATCAAAATGTATTATTGGTTGCTGTAATAGAAAAGTAAGGATATTTGTCCATCAACTATTGTGATTAATCTAGTTTATGTAGACCACAGGTTAACAAAATGTCAGTTATAGAAAGTGGTAATTTAAACTACGATGTAGTGACACGGATCAGAAAAAAAACATCCGAGGTGTTTTCATATAAATCTGTTTGCTGCTGAAATGTAGTACGTGGTATTCTGACGAGAGAAGGTCCCCAACTGACTCCTTGCTTTTGAATTCATCGTCTAGCTACAAGTAGATCTCGATGAGAAGAATAAAACTTAAAAACAATTCAGATTCATTGGTCTTTGGTGACGAGATACGGCCAAATATTGTCTGAACAAGCGAAACTAACATACCACGCATGATGTTATTTTTCAACTTCTGTAAAGAGTTGAACAATGAAAGTTTTTCTCAAGCAGACAAATTTATCGAGTGGTTGTGCCAAAAGTTTTAGACCAACCGACTGTATAGATCTTGAGATATTTATTTTTTTATATATCGACGTATTAAAAGAGTTTTTGCTCTGTTATGCGCACACATGTTTGAAATAAGAAACAGAACACAGTTCGTCTAACGGAACTGATAACTACTGAAACGTGCTCGACTTAAAGGATTTCCGACACCAACTACGCTGGATGAAGAAACAGGAACTGTAGTCTGCATGTTGATAAGGGGTTCGGTCGGGAGAAATGCAGGCTAGTCGGCCAGTTTGGAATTCGCCGGGATGGTGATCGGCATACCAGAGTTGCAACCGGTCCGGTCAGGCCGGTCCAAACTTTAGACCAGCCGGTTGAAAACAATTTTCAGACCGCTAGAAACCGGCAAAAACCGACCGGTATGTTAGGTCATGTACTGCCAGTTAAAACGAGAGGCTTCAAAAAACATCCATCTGCCTGTTCCTTACTCACGTTTTTATTAATACTCAAGAAGAAATGTGATGCTACAGTCGTTTATATCTGTAAGTTTTCCCAAAGATGAATATGCGATGTTTCTCTCTAGAGAAAAAACAGGCATCCACTTGCCACTCAATTGGTAATCTGCAAATCTTAAATTTTTTTACTTAGATTTTGCAAAAAACGCTAATATTTCTCTTTGAACGGCAGTCCCGCCTTAAATCTGGTCTCTAACAAAGCGTTAATGAGATAAGTTGAGAAGTTTTTCTCAGCTAACACTGTTCTGATTGAGCTTTTTAGGCAGTTAAAAAAAATTTCGATTAAAAAAATGAAAAAGTTTAGACAAATTGAAGAAAATAAGGTTGATGTTTTCTGTAACAATATGATTATCTTTGATAAAAGAACTTAGACTTGCTCTCGACATATTTTATTGAAAAAAATTGTATATCTAGAAAATTGTGAAATTCCTTTTATAACTTAATCCTGAGGGGGACTAGAGGGAGTTTTACGACTAAAAAATGTCTTTAGACCGGTAAAAACCGGTGAAAACCGGCCGGTCCAACCGTTTCAACCGGCCCGGTTCGAACCGGTTACAACTCCGCGACATACCCACTGGCAAACAACGCGTTTTCAATAAGGTCTTGAAAAACTGGCGTCGCGATTTGTCAATAGATAAAAGGTTCAAGATCTATACAATCGATCAGTCAAAAACTTTTGGCACAGCCACTCAATAAATGTGTCTGCTTGAGAAAAAACTTTCATTGTTCAACTCTTTACAGAAGTTGAAAAATAACATCATCCGTGGTACATTAGTTTCGCTTATTCAGAAATATTTTGCTGTTTCTCGACACCAAAGACCAATGAGCCTGAATTGTTTTTAAGTTTTATTCTTCTCATCGAGGTCTACTTGTGGCCAGGTGATGAGATCAAAAGCGAGGAAGCAGTTAGTTGTAGACCTTCTCTCGTGAGTGTAATTTCTTTTTTAGCAATGGTGAACGAAAAAGACGATAGTGTGACAATCATTCCCTCCAATTCTCATGCCAACGGTAGTCGAACGAAAAGTTTTACTGACGTTCATTTTAGTCGGCATAAACCGCATATAAGTGTTTCAGAAATAATTCGTAATCAACGTCTCTTATCAGTAATTGATCCAATGAGTGATCGCGTTAGTACCATTCTTGTCTGGAAAAATCTGACCGTTTCAGCAAGAGATATGAATGATAATAGAAGTCGCATTCTTCATTGGAACCATAAACCGAAAATAAAATATCTCCTGTCAAATATTAGTGGAGCTGTAACTGGCGGACTATGGGCTGTAATGGGTCCTTCTGGTTCGGGAAAATCGACTTTATTGAATACTCTGGCATGTCGTCTTGATGTGTCCACAAATGTCTCGGGTGAAATGCATTTAAATGGTGCACCGTACAATAATGCTGAACTGAAACGGATTGCAGGTTACGTAATGAAAGACGATTTACTCAATGGTTTCTTGACGGTCGAAGAAACTCTTACATACACTGCACGATTTCGTTTGCATAAAGATTCCACCGAAGAGGAACGAAAACAACGTGTAAAAGAAGTTATGGCCGATATGGGTCTGTCACATGTGCACAATGTTATCATTGGTACATCGGAAAAAAAGGGCATCTCTGGTGGAGAACGGAAAAGAGTTTCTGTTGGCATGGAACTACTATCGCGGCCTCAGTTACTGTTTCTGGATGAACCGGTAAGTAATATGTTTACTCGAAAAAGTTAATTTTATTCGTGCGACCTGTTTCTTCAGAACTCGCCAGGAAGAAACGCCGATAAATGAGAAAGTACGAATATAAACTGAACTGCTGTTCTGTGTTTTAGGTCTCGAAGTTTCTTTATAAATATCTGTCTTCACTTAAGAGCGAACCTCTCTATGTGATAAAACGCTTTTTGATCGAAATCTAGTGGGTTATAGGTTATCGACCATGCTCATTCCGAATCTGAATATGGGAGCTGCCCTTAACCGTATGAAGATCCAGTTTTCAGAAACTCTACAAGATAACTAAAACCTTTCTTAATGAAACATGATTGTAGACCGCAAATTTCCGATTGAAATGAGATATCTCCCAGCTCTAAATGACCTTTCTTTGCAAAGTTATAGAATTTACAAAAAAAGCCCTAAATGTTCA